AGCAGGAATTATTTATGGCAACAATGAGCAACAAGGGATGACTTGTACCCATCCAGGAGTGTTCAGCCACTCGGCCTGGGGGGACACAGCACCATGACATGTTCCAGGGCTATGACCACATCTGCACTTGAGGGGAGCTGTCCCAGGGTAACCCCCACCCTCACACAAGTTCCCTGGGATATAATTAGTAATTAAGAACAAATGGAGCCCATGAGGAACTGAGCTGCCCTGAGCTGGGGCAGCAGAGCCTCTGGTGGTGGCCACCCAACCAGCCCCTAAGGCCACCAGTGCCTCTGAAACCCAGTCCCCACCCCAGGTGTTTCTAGGGACATGGGGACTGCCCAGTTTAAAGGGGGAAAGAAAATAAAAGATGTGGCAAATTTTCAGTTGCAATGACCTGAAGATGTTCCCTTCCTAAGGCTCTGACAATCAGGGTACAATGAAGGAAAGAGAGGAGTGTAGAAGGGCTCTTCCTCTGCCACAACAGCCATGGGATCCAAATGAAAACCAGTGGGTTTATTAAGCAGTGGCAGCAACAAATCCCTGGATCAGATTTCTGAGGGATGTGAGGGATCCATCCCTGGACAACTTCAGGATGTGATGAGTTTCCAGAACTTTAGCTTCAGCTCCAGATCAAACACAAGGAACTGATGTGGCTGGTGGAGTCAGAGACCAGGGGCATCAACCCAACAGCCCCAGCGTTTCCCCAGGAACTCCTCTTTGAAAGACTCAGATATCCCAGTTTGGGATAAATCAATAAGTTGGGCAAACCCATGGGGCAGGAGGAGCAGAGGGAAGGCTCATTTTAACCCAGACCAATCTGAGGACACTTGGGCTTTCTGCCACGAGAAGTGAAGCTCTGCTCCCCACCCTAACCCAGCCCCTTCTCCCCCCACACAGCTCCTGCCCTGCCCCACGGCTCCTCTACGGATCGGTGGGACCTTGGATCAAGTGCTCCCCAACACTGAAGCCACTTGCACCATTTGTGAGGTGAGGGAGGCACCAGCCTGACCAGCAAAACCAGAGATTTTCTGTAACCAAACATGGAGATGCTGGGAGGGCTGGAGCAGCTCTGCTCTGGAGCCAGGCTGGGAGAGTTGGGGTGTTGAGCCTGGAGAAGAGAAGGCTCCAGGGAGAGCTGAGAGCAGCTTCCAGTGCCTGAAGGGGCTCCAGGAAAGCTGGGGAGGGGCTTGGGACAAGGGCAGGGAGGGATGGGAGCAGGGGGAAGGGTTTCCAGCTGGCAGAGGGAGCTGGAGCTGAGATGGGAGGGAGAAATTCTGGGCTGTGAGGGTGGGGAGAGCCTGGCCCAGGTTGCCCAGGGAAGCTGTGGCTGCCCCATCCCTGGGGGGGTTGAAGGGCAGGTTGGATGGGGCTTGGAGCAGCCTGGGCTGCTGGGAGGTGTCCCTGCCCATGCAGGGGGGGAGGTCTCTTCCCACCCAATCCAGTCTGGGATGCTAGGAAAGGAAAGAAAAAGCACCCCAAAACTCCAAATGGAATCAACCAGGAGAAAGTGTTCCAAGGTCAGAGATTCCCAGCTGGGACTGACTCAAAGGGAAAAGCTGCTCCCAGCGCTGCTCCCTGCACAGGCAGACATGTCCATCTTCCAGCCTCCCATCAGGACAGGACATGGCCATGCTCCCAGTGACAGGGACACAGCAGAACCCACAGGGACCCTTCAGTGAAGAGTGGAGCTGCTCTCTGGCCCAGCCCAGGACTCCTCTTCCTCAGGCTCCTCCTTGGCCACACAAACCAGCCTGCATGGGCTGGACCCTCATGGGCCGGGACGTTGGCTCCCTCTCTGGAAAAGGCTGATCTCAATTTACAGCTCTGTTGAGAATCTCAAGTGTTTTTCTTCCCATTTAGGGGGACTCTTGCCAGGACATTCCAAGTTTCCAGAGAAACCCACGCTCTCTGCCCTGTGCAGAGCTCGGGCTCTTCCATCCTCGGCCCAGACAAAGCCCAAGGTCCCTCAGCATCTCCCTGTTTACAGGGGAAATTCCCCACTGCTCTGATGCAGAATGGGAAGGACTCTCATCCTCAGACCATTCCCAAAGTCACTCGAGCAGCAGGTTTTCCTTTGCTACCATTATTTTTTTTCCTGACAGAAGAACCTGTATCTGTTGATGTCCTGGACAGCCCCACGTTCTGTGTCCCCTCCCGTGCACACCCGGTCGGTTCCCGCGCTGGCTCCTTGTGAACGGGGCTCCAGGAGGTGAGCAAGTGCCTTCAGAGCTTGTCATGAGGGCCTGAAATCAAGACTCATCTGGGGGCTTCACAATCCAGGAGCAGGTCTTTAATACCATCAGGAGACCTGCTGGCTCTGCAGCTGCTGAGAGGAGGTTGGAGCCAGGGGGGTCGGGCTCTGCTCCCCAGGAACAAGCGACAGGACAAGAGGGAACGGCCTCAAGTTGTGCCAGGGGAGGTTGAGGTTGGATCTGGGGAACAATTTCTCCCTGGCAAGGGTTGTCAGGGCCTGGCCCAGGCTGCCCAGGGCAGGGGGGGAGTCCCCATCCCTGGAGGGGTTTCCAAGCCCTGGAGATGGTGCTGAGGGACACGGGGCAGGGGTGGCCTGGGCAGGGCTGGGGGAGCAGTGGGACTGGAGGATCTTCAAGGTCATAACTATTCCATGATTCTAACACAGGAGACAGGGACCCTGTAGGTGGGACACCCACTCACAGAGGGGTTCCAGCAAGATGGTTTGGACTGGGGCTTGACCAGGACACCCCACAGGGGACAGGGGGACACAGGAGGTCAGTGTGTTGCTTCCACGGGTCTCAGCTCTCACAGCAAAAATGCTCTGAGCAACAAACCTTGAGGTGGCAAATGTTCACCTGCTGCAGTTTCCCAGGGTGGGAAGCAGGAGGAGATGGTTCACACCCTCTGAGGTATCTGGTGACCACAGTCCTGCTGAGCTGCCTCCTCCAAGTGTTCTGGATCTTCCCCTGTCTCCCATCTTAGATGTTTGAACTGATGGCACCTGGACCAGCACCTTAAAGGTCTTTTCCAACCAAAACGATTCTATGAATGTCTTTATCTTGATGGGTCCTGTGATTGCCTGGGAAGTGTCACTGCTGAAGGGTGTGCTCCAAAGGTGTTTTAAATGTGAAGAAAAAATGGTTCTTTTTATCAACCTGCCCTTTCCAACTCCCGAAGAGCACATCAGAGTTGTCCATCAAGTCACAGCAGAAGCACTTGGTTGGCAACTGGAAATGCATCATGTGCCTCCTGGAGTTCTGCTCAGCTGAGTTTCAATGAGCCAGGAAAGGAGGTTACTTCAAGATCTAGGAAACAAGTTTCTGAGCAGAACTTGAGAACAAGTCCATGGGGACAGGCTGGTGGTACTTTTTGCCATCTCTACAGTGGCCAAGGAGCACAGCTGAACCTGCTGGTGCTTCCTCAGCATGAGGAAAAACTTCTTTCCTGTGAGGGTGGCAGAGCCCTGGGCCAGGCTGCCCAGAGGCTGTGGAGCCTCCTTCTCTGGAGACTTTCAAGACCCATCTGGAGGTTCCTGTGGGACCTGCCCTAAGTGTTCCTGTTGCAGCAGAGGGGTTGGACTTGATGATCTTCAGAGGTCCCTTCCAACCCCTGAGACTCTGTGGATCCATGGCTCTATGAAAGGATGAGGCAGCAAAGGTGTGTTGCTCCACTCAGAGAAGAATCAGATCAATCCTGTGCCCAGAGCCCCACAAGCACCAGGACTTCATCCCATACTTCCTGAGCTCCAGCTCAGTGCCCTCTGCAGAGGACAAGCTGGACACCCTGAGAAACATCACAGGCTGCTCTGGGTTCAAATTCAAGCTACAATCTGGTGTCTGGGGTTTATGTTCCTTCCTGACTGGGTTAGAGCACTAGTTGAACATCCCAGGCACAACTTTTTATCCTAGCATGATAAAAGTTGGGTTGGAAGGACCTCAAATCCCACCCAGTCCCACCCCTGCATGGGCAGGGACACCTCCCAGCAGCCCAGGCTGCTCCAAGCCCCATCCAACCTGCCCTTCAACACCCCCAGGGATGGGGCAGCCACAGCTTCCCTGGGCAACCTGGGCCAGGCTCTCCCCACCCTCACAGCCCAGAATTTCTCCCTCCCATCTCAGCTCCAGCTCCCTCTGCCAGCTGGAAACCCTTCCCCCTGCTCCCACCCCTCCTGCCCTTGTCCCAGGTCCCTCCCCAGCCATTTTCTGCCTCTGCACAGGGCTCTGCCCTCAGCAGCAGATCCCAAGGTCGTTCCCCAGACAAACACATTCACAGCAGCCTCTGGTGTGACCTGCTCTTCAGTGACACTCAACAAGGAATGTCCCACCCTGGACTTGGCTGCCCTGGGGACAGAAAAGAGGGAATTCCTGTATCCTGGTTTTGTAGAAAAGAAATCTTTTTCTTGGGGGTAATTCCAGCCTGTAATGTAAAATTACGCAAAGCTTTGTGAAACCAGGTGTGGATCAGAGCAGGTTCCTTGGCAGGCAGAAGGGAAAGGCTCTTGGTGGTGTCTCTATGCCATAAAAAGCAGGTCACATTCCTGCACAAATGCCAGAGGAACGAGCCCAGTTTGGCACCATCACCTTGGTACCATCCCAAGTGTTGGTCCTCCACATAAACCCCAACTAATGTGATGGCACAGGAAGAAGGAAGGCTTTTGAGCCATGCTCATGAGCAGGACAACTGGTCAGCCTGGAGAAGGAGACCTTAGAGCACCTTCCAGTGTTTCCACAAAACCACATGGCAACACCTCCAGCCACACCTGACCATGGATCAGTGTGCACTGGAGCCCACCTGGGCGTGGGAGGTTCTGGTGCCAGACTCTGATGCTTTGCTCAAGTGGCTTCTCTGCCATGTTTCAGGATTGCAGTAGGATGGGGGAGGTTCTGGCACCCAGGTGCTCACATGCCACACAAACAACGAGCAGGTTGCCACCCAAGAGCAGGTACAGGAGCACACGTTGTTATGAGTAGCCTGGTAACCAGCCAGTCGAGCTGCTAAGATCATAGAATACCAGGTTGGAAGGGACCTCAAGGATCACCCAGTCCAGGTGGGTTGTCAGCTTCGCTATGGTCACTCAGGTAGGTGCTGGCCCTGGCACACACCAGCAGGTGATGCTGCTCAGCACAGCAGCTACAAGGAAAATCTTTCCTGAAATCGAAATGAGTAACAACCTTGCAGGAAAAGTCAGGACAAGAGAGACTGAGACCCTGGCCCAAGTTGCCCAGGGAAGCTGTGGCTGCCCCATCCCTGGGGGTGTTGAAGGGCAGGTTGGATGGGGCTTGGAGCAGCCTGGGCTGCTGGGAGGTGTCCCTGCCCATGCAGGGGGGGCACTGGGTGGGATTTGAGGTCCCTTCCAACCCAAACCAGCCTGGGATTCTGTGATCAACCGACTTCTCCAAGTGGGTGGACCCATCAAGCCTACCTTTCTTGAAGGTCGTGGAGAGACTGCTCAGCCCTGTGGAGACCCTCCAGGTCTTTCATCATCTTCTTCATGTGCTCCTTGGAGTAGCGGTTCTGGATGTAGGCGAACCAGCAGCCGCCCACGCCGATGACGATGGACACCACCAGCATGAAGTCCTTCAGGTGGTTGTGCCGAGTCACTGGAAGAGAACCAGAGATCTGCTGAAGGGGAGAGCTGGGTTAGACATTGGGAAGAAATGATCCACTGTAAGGGTGGTGAGGAAATGGAAGGGCTTGCCCAGGGTTTGTGCAGCCTGGTCTAGCGGGAGGGCTCCCTGCTCAGGGCGGGGGGGGTGGGACTTGATGGTCTTTAAGGTCCCTTCCAACCTTCATGATTCTATGAGTGGAAAAGGACACTACATGAGGATTAACTCTGGAACACTGCATCCAGCACCAGAGCTGGAGCTGTGGGACCTTGAGATGCTGTTAGAAGGAACTGTGGCCCAGGTTTCACCGAGGGGGAAAAGCGACATCACCAGTGAGGAGGAAAAGCAGCAGCTTGGCAAGGTTTACAGAACCTGACTGGGAAGAAGAGTCACTTAAAAGGAAATGTGGAAACATGAAAAGACTCGAGTAAATAGGAGGGGGATTAAGTGCTAAACAAAAATGTGATTCAAGCAGAATTGTTTTGACTGTTTATTAATTGCAAATCCTCAAGCAAGGATGAACTGAGAAATCTAGAAGTGGGGAAGAGAAGCTCAGCAGAGCTCCCTGACCCCAGACATGCAGCACCTGCTGCCTGGGAACTAAAGAAGGAAGATTCAGCCTGGAGCAAAGGAGGCTGAGGGGAGACCTGCTGGCTCTGCAGCTGCTGAGAGGAGGTTGGAGCCAGGGGGGTCGGGCTCTGCTCCCCAGGAACAAGCGACAGGACAAGAGGGAACGGCCTCAAGTTGTGCCAGGGGAGGTTGAGGTTGGATCTGGGGAACAATTTCTCCCTGGCAAGGGTTGTCAGGGCCTGGCCCAGGCTGCCCAGGGCAGGGGGGGAGTCCCCATCCCTGGAGGGGTTTCCAAGCCCTGGAGATGGTGCTGAGGGACACGGGGCAGGGGTGGCCTGGGCAGGGCTGGACTGGGTGACCTTAAAGGGCTTTTCTAACACAAATATGATTTACTCTGTAATTTTACCGAGTGAACATAATCTCCTGCTAAAAAGCAACCAATGCCACCTGTCCCTTGCAGTCTGACCTATCACAGTGATGCCCCCAGCAAGGGCTCCCCCAGCACCTCATGATGTACCAGCAGCTTTAACCTACCCCCACAAGGCACACACAGGATCCCCTGTTGGGAGGGACCCCCCACGCTGAGTGGGGCTGTTTGTGCTGCTGAAACACAGACACTGCAGCTGTAAAATGTAAAGGAAGAAGAGAAACAGGTTCTTTGCTCCAGAGAAGCTCTCATACTGAGATGCCTTCCAGACGCTGGTGCCAGGGAGCCTTTCCAGGAGCACCATTTTTCTTAGAAGCAGATGAAAAATAGCTTGGCAAGATCTCAAAGCCTGGTCCTGACTGTGTCTCAGTGAGGCAAAGTGTTCTGGATAAAACCCAGGTAGCTCCTCTGCCCTCCACTGGAGCCAGGCTGGGAGAGTTGGGGTGTTGAGCCTGGAGAAGAGAAGGCTCCAGGGAGAGCTGAGAGCAGCTTCCAGGGCCTGAAGGGGCTCCAGGAAAGCTGGGGAGGGGCTTGGGACAAGGGCAGGGAGGGATGGGAGCAGGGGGAAGGGTTTCCAGCTGGCAGAGGGAGCTGGAGCTGAGATGGGAGGGAGAAATTCTGGGCTGTGAGGGTGGGGAGAGCCTGGCCCAGGTTGCCCAGGGAAGCTGTGGCTGCCCCATCCCTGGGGGTGTTGAAGGGCAGGTTGGATGGGGCTTGGAGCAGCCTGGGCTGCTGGGAGGTGTCCCTGCCTGTGCAGGGGTGGGACTGGATGGGATTTAATGTCCCTTCCCACCAAAACCAATCTGGGATTTAACCATAACTTGTCACAAAAGCAGAGCTGGGGCCAACAGGGAAGGGCACCTGGGGTCATGCTGTTCACTTGGGAGGTGGAAACCCAAAGCCATAGGGCAAAGCCAACCCAGGGCTGGGGGGGCTGCCCACCAGATCTGCATGGAGGAGGGACAGAGCTGCTGGTCCCCTGACTGCAGTGGAGGGACCTCCCTCTGCAGGGAGGGATGGGACATTTTCCCAAACACTCAGCAGACACCCAAGCAACATCTCCCCTTATCTTCACAACCAGCACCACATGATCCATCATCTCACGCGCCCCAGAGGAGCTCAATCATGCTCTGAAAACATGAAGAGAAGGCTCCAGGGAGAGCTGAGAGCAGCTTCCAGGGCCTGAAGGGGCTCCAGGAAAGCTGGGGAGGGGCTTGGGACAAGGGCAGGGAGGGATGGGAGCAGGGGGAAGGGTTTCCAGCTGGCAGAGGGAGCTGGAGCTGAGATGGGAGGGAGAAATTCTGGGCTGTGAGGGTGGGGAGAGCCTGGCCCAGGTTGCCCAGGGAAGCTGTGGCTGCCCCATCCCTGGGGGTGTTGAAGGGCAGGTTGGATGGGGCTTGGAGCAGCCTGGGCTGCTGGGAGGTGTCCCTGCCCAAGCAGGGGTGGGACTGGATGGGATTTAATGTCCCTTCCCACCAAAACCAATCTGGGATTTAACCATAACTTGTCACAAAAGCAGAGCTGGGGCCAACAGGGAAGGGCACCTGGGGTCATGCTGTTCACTTGGGAGGTGGAAACCTAAAGCCATAGGGCAAAGCCAACCCAGGGCTGAGGGGGCTGCCCACCAGATCTGCATGGAGGAGGGACAGAGCTGCTGGTCCCCTGACTGCAGTGGAGGGACCTCCCTCTGCAGGGAGGGATGGGACATTTTCCCAAACACTCAGCAGACACCCAAGCAACATCTCCCCTTATCTTCACAACCAGCACCACATGATCCATCATCTCACGCGCCCCAGAGGAGCTCAATCATGCTCTGAAAACATTCACTCCTGAATTCAACACTGAAGAAATAAACAAGAGGAATATTGGCCCCGTTTCCCATTCCGGATGGATTATCACAACATCCTCTTCCTAAGCAGCAGCTCCTGGCAAGTCCCTGCAGAGACGTCATTTCTAATCCCTTTTATTTGGTGTTTGGAGAAGACTCCTGGGCTGACCTGTTCAGGTGGTTTGTTCCCACCCTCCCACCCATCCAACCACACCTCTTAGAGCTTCTCTCTCCTGTAGGGTTTGCTCCACCATCCCCTTCTTCCCCTGGCTCAGCCCACCCTGCACAGCACCTGAAGCTACAGGCAAGTCCAGGTGCTGCACAGAGAACCTGCCAGTCCCACCTCCAGCTGAGTCACCTCCTGTGCCCGGGGCTGAGGTTCTCAGCCTCACCACACCACAACTATCCTTCCTCTGCAGCAGCTTTGGCTCAAGGCAGGAGGACAAGGGAACTCAATGAAACCTCAGCTTGGATGTGGATGGAGCCTCTTGGCTTCCTAGAATTTCTCTTGATGAGGTACAGAATTAGTGGCTCCGTTCCTGGGAAGAAATGCAGGGGTAGAAAAGGCTCAACTCAGCCAAGTTGGCTTTTCTCTCCAAAGAGAAATGAAATCCTCAGCCCACTTGGCTGCTTTCAGCATGGAATTCCCCTCTTCCCACCATGGTTTTGGAGCAACCTGGTCTAGTGGGATGTGTCTCTGCCCACAGCAGGGGTTGGGACTGGATGGTCTTTCAGGTCCCTTTGCACCCAAACCAGTCTGGAATATCAGCACAAGGACTGACCCAGTGCTTGGGTGCTAAAGCTGTCAGGAAGAACTGCTGCAGGACAAGCTGATCTTCCCAGGGTCACGAGCACCTTTCCAAGGCAGCACCAAAGGCTGCAAGTGATGACAGCTGAGGTCTTCAGGCACAAAATGCCTTTTCTGGGATAGTTCTTGCCAAGCACAGGCCACCCATGGGACAGCAGAGGTGGGCTGCCCTGCCCTGCAGCTCAGCACGGGGCAGGAGAACCTGGGCACACCCCACTCTCCCACCTGCTCCTGCTCCTGCACCTTCCAAGACCTCCCTCAGGCAGGAGAAGGTGCTGGTTTTCATGTTTAACACCACCCATCACTGCTGCCTGCACAAGGAGGGGCGGGATCAGTCTCTCCCACCATGGCTGGCATCAGTTCTCCCTCTGAGCACCCACCAAGGCTTGTGCTCCTCCAGTCCTGGTGGAGTGGCCCTCCAGGGGGTTGGATGCCCAAGGTGACCAAAGATAATCCTTCTACTCTCAATTTTCTCCCTGCTTTTTCACTTGCTGTACCAGAACATGGAGCTATTTTAGCTGTTGAGCCTCTGGATCAGCTGCCCCAAGACAGAGGCCAAGGGCCCTGCCAGACTCTGGAGCAGCTTCTCCAGCCCAACCTCAGCCTGACTCTATCCCTGTTACTGCCAGGAGCCATCTCCCCTCCTGCAGCTGGGCAGCTCAGCCTGTTCTCCCTGCTCCCCCTTCCCTGCCAGCCCCTGGGCCAAGCCAGGAGCACATCACCCCTGCAAAAGCTGCAGGAAAATGCAACATACACCAAGGAAAACCTTTTTTCTTCCTCCTTTTGCAGGGAAGGTGGAAGATGGGACAGGATTTTACCCAAGGCAGCAGTTGCTTGCTCCAGGCAGTCCTGCTGCAGCAGGATGATCCCTGGAGGTCCCTCCCAAGCCTGATGATTCTGTGACCTCCTGTGGCTCCAGCCCTGCTCACAGCAGCCCAGCAGTCCCAGTAGTCCCAGCAGTCCCAGCAGCCCTGCCCCTCTCTGAGGGCTGAAAGCAGCAGGTGAAGCCCTGGGAACAGCCCCACTGAGCACCAACCTCAGGGGTCTCCGGCAAATGGGTCCCATGGTGAGAGATACAAACTCAAACCCTCCATTTTTTAAACAAAAAGTTTCCCAAACTTTTGCTCTGGGAACAGCAGCAGGAGGGGCTGTCAGGGAAAATCAGCTGCTTCACAGGAGCTTACATAAGAACTGCTAAAAAAGGGAGAAGTGACCCCCTGGGCCCATCCCACACCCATGGTTACATTTCAGCTGAAATATCAGAAAAAAACACTTACAGGACTCACTGATTTTTTAATTTCCCCAAGTGGCTTCACTGGAACAGTGACATTGCCCTTTTGTCAGACCCAAGGCAGGGAAGG